AGCTTCACTGATACGTTGCAGAAGAGTAAGGATTTTTGTGTACATATATATCTCTGAGAGAGACAAAGCGCATTGATATTTGCTTTGTTACTTAATTAGAGGTCAACAGCAGTGCATGCAGATGGGAAACGACTACAGAGCAGTGCTCAGTGTGCTGTGAATCAAGAGTCCACCACCACAAGAACAGCACTGTTTGCAGCACGAGAGGCCAGGGAACAGCCAGCAGAAGTGCCATTTTCTCCTTACAGAGTCCAAATAAAAAGAGCACAGAGAAGAGGGATTTGTTCATGCTGCTCAAAGCAGCATTAACTCTCCCTCTGTGCTCAGTGACCCCACCAGATGGGTCACAGTGCACAGATGCTGGCATACAGCCCTTGCCTGCAAAGCCACCAAAAGCCATGCAAGAGACCAGGAAGGAGACCACAGGGTGAACCTCTCTCCTTCCTTCCCTCCCTCCCTGAGATCTCACATTTTAGATGTCCTAGTCTAACCAAACCCACTCATTTTTGTGCCTCTCCTAGCCCTCTTCCCCTTTGAAATGCTTGGGCTTCCCTTCCACAGCCTTTTCTTTACCGTGTTTGTTTACAGAAAATCATTGTACCATTCTTCATCAAGCGCTAGGAGATGAATGGTGTTATATAACTGCTAGCTACTGTTTTATAGTTTTTTAGAATGATGGAAAAGTAAAATGGGAATGTAGACTCCCCTTGGGGCCTGGCTAAGCAAACTAAACTTAACTATGTTACTGGTGACCCAAAAGAATATTCACGTCAGCATCCCCAAAAAGGTAGAAGGGTAACGTATTTCAGTACATACCATTCTGCATAAAATGACATGCCATTAATAACTATGGCATATAGGCATGTGTGGGGTGAGAAATCTGTGATGCAACTCCAACTCAAAAGAGTTCACAGAAAAGTGTCGGGTTTGGGGTTTTTTTTACATTTGCAATGATTTGCTATTCATTAAGATCTGATATCTTGTGGCTTTTGATATTCCAAAGAGATTTTAATCTGCTTGCTTTTCATTCCAGGTCAGCTAACAAAAAATCAATAATGGTTTGGACAGATTTCCTTCTTGTAATGAGCCTAGAATTGGCATATATAGCCTTGCTCTTCCTGTTTCCCATTTACAGGGGCTTTTTTGGAGTGATTTGGGTCTCTCTCATATTTTTTTGTGGCAGAAATTTGCATTGGCATGTTATGAGGCTTTTGCACTGTTTGTATCCCAGGCACAGATACACGCTGCCTACTGAACTTAATGAGGCTTCTTGACATCAAAACCAATTACAGCAAAAGCAGGTTCTCACTGCTGGAAAGTGCAATTATGCTCTCATTAAGGCCAAAGTTGCAATTCTTCTTGCAGACAATCCTGGTATTCAGTCTGCAACTGATCACGTCGAGAGGATTGCTATGATGAGCAGCAGCTGCAGGAATAGGCACTCTTTCTGTAGTAAGAATCTGGATTACAGTGTCCTGCAGCACCACTTGTTTTCAGGCTCACAAACTGTACCATGTACCTACATATTTGCATCAAAGTCCAGTGGGACCTGATGGCTTTAAGGTTTCAGCAGCGTATGTAGTTCATCTTTAATATGTGCTAAACAATGCTTTACTTAGGCATGTGCTTAAAGCTGAGCCCATGCTAAGTGCTTTGCTGAACTGTGATCTAATCATGTTTCAAATTACTCAGGGTCTGGCAGCAACCTCTCTCATTAGAAAGCAAATCCTTTACTGCCTTATAAGCCAATAGAAATTACGCATCCTTGCAAAGAAGGTGTTGAAGGCGAGTTTGCCTGAACTGCATTTGACAACCGTTTAGAAAGCCAAGCCAAACAAATATTTTCAACCATACATTAACTGGTTTTCTTTTTATTGGGAAGTTCTGTTTCATTATGGCAAAATGCAGCATGTTCAAACTGAAGGCCGAGGAATGATCTGACAAGCTTGCATAGAACCCCGTGCAGCAATCAGGGTATTTTGCTCTCAGAGAGCTTGATCCTGATAGGGACAAATTCTCCTCTCAGTTGTAGCAGGGCATATATGCTGGAATCCAGAGCTGAATTTTGCAGATTGGCTCCAGTGGGAAGTTAGAAGGGCCCCCCAGCACCTTGCAAGACCAAGTCCTGCAGTGTCTCTGCAAAGATGAAGTAGGGTTCAACAAGCAGTTGGGATAACCTAACAGTTCACTGCCACTGAAGGGTGAAGATTTCACTCCTCCCTGCTTCCTCTCACTAGCTTTCTAACTCACTAATTTGACAGAAAAGGATCAGCTTTGGTTTTGTTGTTGTTGCTGCACTGGATTTTCTGCCAGACTAGTGAGCTCAAGCAGCTCCTGGAAAAGAAGGCAGCTCTTGCACAGGTCCTTGCACAGTGACAGAACCAGTTCACGATGAACAGCTAAAGGGCACACAATGGAAAGAAGACAGTAGGAAGACGAGGCTTTTCCTTTTCATCAGCAATGAGCTTTTGAGATCAGCTCAACCTACTCTCACACCCCATAGGCTTGATCTGCTTTCACCTACATCAGTTTTACATCAGTGTTACTCCACTAATTGAAATTATTACTGTTATCTAAGTCAGAATGTTAATATTCAGAAGCCCTGACCACAAGCAGGGTTCTGCTGTTAAACAAGGGATGGTATATACACATTTCTCCTGCTCTGAGGAGCTGACAGTCCAATTCAGCACAATGCACAACTGGAAGAGCAAACTACAGAAGACAAACATGGTCAGGAAAGTGGGGGTAGTAGTTAGAGGAAGACAAACAAAATTTGATCCTGAAACACTCACTGAATTGTTTGGTCCTTATTCAGGTGAATCAAATGGATTTAATCACTTAAAGTAAATCAAACTACTCACCTGAGCAAAAAGCTTTACTATAACTCCAGCAACAATCTAGATCTCAGCATGTGCAACAGGAAATTATACCACTTGTTTCATTTCAGATTCAGCCGCACCAATTCTGCACTTCACCTGGATGCAAAAATTCTCACTAACACAAACAGGAGATCTGCCTGTGCCTGGAGTGCAGTCAGACTGGGCACTTTGTCTGCCAGTTCTGTTGCAGTTTCTCAGCGTATTACAGCATCATTCCCCATCTAAATAAACAAGCAAACCAACCAAGAAACCAGCATCTAAAATAAAGGTGAAAGATCCTACTCTCTATTACCCAATTCAACCTCCTTCCCCCTCACCCCTGGGTTTTGGGCTGAGCTCTATGTGGCAGTTCCTTTTACTTAACATGAAAAATACTAGTTACTTGGCACTTATTGTGCCTTTTTTACTGAATAGGAAGGAAAACCATTATGTATTTGCCCGTTATCATTAAACAGCATGGTAAGGGACGGGTAAGCAGAATCTGTGTCTTGATGAGAGAATGTCAAAGCACTGTTTTGCAAAGCTGATGTAAATTTATCACAGTACATATATCTGAGGTACTTGCATAAATTATAACCATGATTTAGTATTTACTTAGTTGTATTAGAAAATGATAGAAACAAACCTTGAGCGTTGACAATCGAGACTTCTCTTTCTGCTGGTCTTGTTGTGCCACTGTATGTGATAAAGGCATGAAACATCCTTCAGCAATAACACAGAAGTTTGAGGGGAAAACAGAGATGTCCTTTGCAAGAAAAATGGTATCACAGCTCTTTGATTTAAAGTAAAGAAGCAACTTTGTGTCAGTCTTCACTAGTAAGCTGTACAGTGCTGTGTTACCAAGATGATGTCTCATTCGACTTTCAACAAGATCTTAACTGTAAAATCCACAGCACTGAAAAGGTTTTGTTTGGAAATAAAAGCAAACAAGGATGTGTTTTGATGAAAGATGATGCTTTCCATCTGAGTCCAAGATATAAGCCACGCAATGGTTATTTAAGTAGCATGGCATGCCATGTTAGACTCTTTAAGTGCTATCCATTTCCAGTCTATGATAATTAAAAATGGTGAACTGTGCACACAAATGGTATGGATACATAAAGGTGACTGATACACATGCCAAAGTAATCTGGAGTGTGCAATGAAAATAGTTTTGCAGATATTGCACTCATATTCTGCTTTCTTATTGTATCTATCCACTCCCTCATGTTTCTAATCTGTTGTGCACTTGAAACGAAACCAGTAACAGCAGACAACAATTTTTTTCTTTCAGTCTCAAAAATATAACAAAGGTATAAAACTGTATAACTACAAAAAAAAAAGCTGCACAAACATTTTTTGAGTGATAGCACAGGACTGAATTATTTAGAAATTCTGAAACAGTAAGGTAATTAATAAAATTATTTATAAAGATGTATATCTACAATATTTAATAATTTAAGGCTCACAAGAAACTAACATAACAATGACAATAAAAGTTTTCTGCTATAGGATTAAAAGCACCAAATTCACTTCACATACTAGATAACCAGACCTGTACTGATCACAAGTGGGAAACTCTGAAAGTGCTGATCCTCTAATGTTTCTAGTGCTTTAACGATGTCGTATTTCACAGGAATAAGAAATCCCCTTCCAACCATAAATACAGTTATACAGATATAAAATATACTGAAATATTTTCAATTTCAAACTACAGTAGAAAAAACCTCAACCTCCCTCCCCCCTAAATCCATTCATTCTCCACACACACATCCCCCAGCTCTTTAATACTAACTTGGAGCAACTGAATTGGTTACAAATGACCCATTTAAAACCAACCAACATTTGCTAAAATAAGTTTCTACAAATTAAGATTTTTCACTGTCATACTTTACTAGCTCCTGCATCATGAAGCATAGCTTATTCTTAGTCTATTTTAAAAATAGGTGACCCTTTGTGTCATGGAAAAAGAACATAAAAACATGTATTCCTGGAGGACTACTCAGGACAGTGACCAATTTATAAAATACAGACAGATTTAAAAAAACTCACTAGTACCAAAAGAATAATTATAGTAGTAAGTTTCTGACACCAGCAAATCTTTCGCATCTCTTCTGCTTCTCTGAACTCTCTCTCCTCTCCTTACAGGTCTGTTTCCCTATTGGTGTCCAGACAGAGAGCATAGAGGGATTTTCTGAGATCTACGTTACTTTTTGCTTTGATATTGGTTTTCTCTAAGGAGCTGGTGCCATTGTTGAACCCCTCACTGTTTTCCAAGTGCACAACAGATTTGTTCAGAGAGTTTCTACTTGGTCTTCTCTTTGCATCTCCCCCTGCTGTACTACCCTGAGCACTACTGTGTTCATCTTTGAGGATAGCTTGCTCTTCATGATCAGTCTCTCGGTGATAGAAGTAATTGAAATTGGAGACAATGACAGGGACAGGTAGGGCGATGGTGAGCACACCTGCAATGGCACACAAGGAACCCACGATCTTGCCCCCAACAGTGACAGGTCGCATGTCTCCATAGCCCACAGTGGTCATGGTTACCACTGCCCACCAGAAAGCATCAGGGATGCTAGAGAAATGAGACTCAGGGTCATCGGCCTCAGCAAAGTAGACAGCACTGGAGAAAAGGATCACCCCAATAAATAGGAAGAAGATGAGGAGGCCAAGCTCCCTCATGCTGGCTTTCAAAGTCTGTCCCAAGATCTGCAGACCCTTGGAGTGCCTGGAGAGCTTGAAGATCCTGAAGACCCTGACCAGGCGAATAACTCTGAGGATGGCCAGGGACATGGCCTGCTGCTGGCCCCCGCCCCCATTGCTACCGCCAGCCCCGGGCTGCTGCTGCTCATGGGCCAACTCGGTGCCCAGGGTGATGAAGTAGGGGATGATGGCCACAATGTCGATGATGTTCATGATGTTGCGGGAGAACTCAGGCTTGCTGGGGCAGGCAAAGAAGCGAACGAGGAGCTCAAAGGTGAACCAGATCACACAAGTGGTCTCAATGATGAAGAAGGGGTCAGAGAGGCTACTGGGTTGCTGCATGTGTGGGGTATCCCCAGTAGTGCCATTCAAACCTCCACTTTGTGGGGGCAGGGGCACAGGCATCTCTCTCTCATCCCTGAATTCTGGCAGGGTCTCCAGGCAGAAGGTGATGATGGAGATGAGGATGACCAGCACAGAGACGATGGCGATGGCCCGGGCCGAGCTGCTGCTCTCAGGGTACTCAAAGATAAGCCAGACCTGGCGCTGGAACTCATTGTGGGGCAGGGGCTTCTCCTCCTCTTTGATGAAGCCCTCGTCCTCCCTGAAGCGCTCCATGGCCTCCTCACCCAGCTGGTAGAAGCGGATCTCATCGGCAAAGACGTCGATGGAGACGTTCACGGGCCGGCGGAGTTTGCCCCCTGACTGGTAGAAGTAGAGGATCCCGTCGAAGCTGGGCCGGTTGCGGTCGAAGAAGTACTCGTTGCGGAGCGGGTCAAAGTAGCGCATGCGCTTATCCGGATCCCCCAGCAGCGTGTCGGGGAACTGGTTGAGGGTGCCCAGCTGGGTCTCGAAGCGCAGCCCCGAGATATTGATCAGCACCCGCTGGTGGTGCATGGTGCCCCGGTTCACCGCTGCCGCC